GTTTCACCAACTCTAAAATACATGGGAGTGAATTTTTGACCAATTAAACAATTCCGTAGTAAATAGCAAAATCGGCTGCTGACTTCAGCTTTTCAATTTGAGCAAGTTTGGTGGGCAGCTGGAATTTTTGTCCTGGAAAGATGATATAGAATCCGTTCACCAAATCCTCTATCAACATCTGGCCATTAACCCCGGCAAACTGCATGAAAGGCACGTTTATCGATTTTACTTGCTCATCATTCCAATCAAGCCTCAGTAACCCATTCAGAATTGATTGATTAATGCGGGCAGAACGGCATCGATCAGAAATAGTTTTATCAGCAGTTGCACGCACAGCAAACTCCCACTCTCCCAGATCCATTCCTGATAGCAAAGGTTTGTTGCGTTGTATATTCAACTTTCAGATAACGCTGTTAATTCGATTGCTCTAGATAATTTTTTTTTAAAAAAAAAAAAAGTAAGAAACGAATTTCTTAACAAGGGAGCGAGTGAACGAATCATGTTTAAAAAACGTACGGGGGCTACCCAAAGAACTATACTTCAGTGAATAAGCCCAAACGGGAACATGTCAAACTATCCTTAAATGGGTGCGTCTGTACGATGTTTAAAGGCATGCCAGACATCTATGAATTGGAGTGAGTTTGAACGAACCATGTTTATTAACCCAAAGAACTATACTTCAATAAATAACCCCCGGCTCCAAACGGAACATGTCAAACCATCCACATGCCTTGTTTTCTCCATGAGCATCCATCTTGTCTTTTTTCCGATCGCGGAAAGAGTAGCGATATGTGTTTATTTGAGTATCGATTACGCAGTTGATAAACGGTGTCGTTTTGAAGACTTGTTCGTGAGTTGTAGCAAAGTGTCGTATGTGTAATAGCGGTAAAAGTTTGTTGCGTTGTATATTGACTTTTCGATAATGTTGTATTTGCGCTTTGGAGGAGGAGAGGTTGTTGTGAGTGCAATGGAGAGGAGAGTCGGAGAGGAGTGTCTGGGTATATATATATGTGTATGAATAGACGCTATTGTTGTCGTGCGCGACCTTATGTTATTTACGCTGTAAGGGGTGTGAGAGTCAGCCACAACAATCACTATCAACCAATAGTAAACATAAGCGGATATCATCATTACATCATATGGTGACAGTCGTAGTAAAAAAAAAAAAATTTCACTGGTTAACAAGTCCGATAAGTCACGCGTATAAAGTAATCGCGTGTTAGATGGTAAGGTGACATATATTGGTACTCTGATGTTGTCGTACGCAGCCTCATAAGTATAAATGTCTGTTATCTATGCAATAACTGTCGTTGCGATTGTCACGTTTGTTTCCGTAAATGAGAACAATAGTATCAGTGTAACATTCGGGATCACATGCAGTGAAATATTTTTCACTGGTTAACAAGTTCGATAAGCCACGCAATTAAACTGATCTCTATGACAGTCAATTGTCTAACTAACATTTTTTTACGTACTATATTTATAAATAGTTGATAATAGATGCTCTTAACTACAACATTTTTCTTGTTTAATACAGCCAACAAGTATTAGTATAGATACTTTTGAGTAAGATCATTATGCAGGCTATCATATTAAATTACCGTAAACTGCCGTGAATAAGGGCCTTATTCATGTATGTTTGGTTGCGCCTTAAAAACAATGCAAAATGATCTACGAATCGTCACGTAACAATTATCCACGTTATCTCTATTTATTACATAATCACGAACTACCGTAGAGTACTGACTAAAGTACCCCCCTGTGTATAGTATCCTGCAGCAGTTTAAGCCGGAGCTATGAGGTGTCAATGTATTATCATGGGTGTACCAAAGCACCCCCCCTAAAAAGCATGAAATGTAAAATACCAGGTACTTTAGTCAGCATATTTCATATAAATAAAGTAATATATGGCGTCGCATTACGGCCCTTATTCACGGCAGCCTTTTTTTTCATATGAGGGGCCACGGCGTGTACGTGAGATAAGGGTGTGGTAAATTAACGTCAACGATATTTGGCGCGTGCAGAACTCATGCTGGTAAGTATAGATTTCAAGATCATTATCAGCAGAAAAAGCTGGAGAAGATTGTGCAAAAATCAGAGTTGCTTGGAGAAAATACATAGCGAGCAAGTGAGTATACAGACATAGTCCAATCAGTGTCACAAGTTGTCACGAGTTCGTCTCAAGTAAAAAAATCGTTAGAAAGCTGGGTTCTTGAGAGTCAGAGTTTGAAAAAAACTGTTCTCGATAATTGTCACAGCTGTCACAAGTTTCTTAGGTTAATTTGTCGACTCTTATCTTTTTTATTATTTTTTTTCTATAGGTATACAATATATCGAAGGTAAGTATCAGGTATATATCATAGTAGATATAGCACACATAGCATAGTATATATCGAGTATATATTGAGGTAGGTATATGCACATATAACATATGTTGGTATTGGGGGGTATATACAGTATATCGGGTAGTATACCATAGGAAAGAGTTTTATTTTTCCCTTAGAATTCTACCATTTTACTTAAGTAACTTGTGACAGATATTAATATAAAGAAGTAATCAAGAAAGAAATAAAAAGGTTCAAAACTCTCAAACAAGCATCACAAGTTCTGTCACAAGTACCTACAAACAACCAGTGACATCTAGTGCCAACTTGTGACAAAAATTTCGGTATACTTTAATGGGTCAAGGTAAGTGGGTATATTGTGCTACTAGGGACTCTAAGCCAAATCCACCCATATGCTTGAAGCCAAAAAAAGTGAATCAGGTAAGTAAACTTGAATATTGGCATATGTTATGCAAGCAAAAAGAATAACTTAGTATGGCGGACGCCTCCCTATAACCTTGCAATAAGCAAGCAAGAAGATATCAGATATTAATTAATTTTTTGCTTACTACGGCACTACATAAAAATCTCTTGTGAGATTGGAAGTTAATACACCAACCCCCGCAACAGTTGGTGTAATAAGATAAAGAGTCAGTGATGGCGAAAAAAAAGGGCAGTCACATGATTTTTGAGTGATACGCCTTCTTCATGATTGGGTAACAAGTTTCACAGCGCAAATCATCCAAATATAGTCTAAAATATGGCGCAACGGCATTACGCCACTGATTACACTTTATTTATTATTACATGATTGTTTCGCGCATGTTATTATTATTATAAACGTAACAGTATAAATATCTATCTAATTTAAGTAAAAAGCAAGTCTTGAATTGCGTGGTGGGTTCCACGTTCTCTGTTGTGTTCTAGCTCTTAAAGCCTCTTCACATGCCTGTGTTTCGTTCATCAAGACTTGTCTTAGTCGCTTATATGTATGATAAAACTGATCGTTTTGAATATTATCTGAAACGATTTTCAATAACGATCTATGCTCATCGAAATCTCCGACTTATCTATGGGAATTTCATTCATCTCATTCCAGGGATTGTTTACAGGATCAACGTTTGCACGGGCTTCACCAAACCAGATAGTGGATAATCATGTCTTCACCATCACTGACTCATTAATATAAACGAGGGATGATTGCAGTTTGTTGTATCGACGAGGCACATGGATTGCTTACAAAGGCAAAAGGTGATGAAACCTATTTTGTTCAATGGAGACGACAAATTCGAGAAATTTCATGGATTGGGTTCTTTAATATTCTTCTCAGTACATGTGGGAAGATTGGCAATTTCCTCCCTCCAGTGACAAAAGACACTATCTCTGCCAGATCACATGATTTCATTATATTACCCGCGTATTTGGATGTCAACACCATGGATGTACTAGCATCACTTGCTGAAAATGTTGGTAAAAATATAATTATGAAAGGGTTGTTTATCTAGGAATACCACTTTGGGGTAAGCCGGAATTAGTCTTATACTGTTATACGACGAATTTAATAATAATAATAATAATAATAATAATAGCATTTAAATAGCGATTTACGATTAATATTATTAGTACGTCAGATGAACATGTAAATATCTGACGTAAATTTAGTGACGTTGAATTAATATTTTAGCAATAGCTATGGACCATTTAAATTTTAGAATAGCTATACTAATACCGCAGTAGCAATTTAGATATATAAACAATCAAAATTCGAATAGTTTCTGCACCTTTTCCACTTAGGATTTGGTCGAAGACTCCAACGGAATAATGGAATAACTCTTACGGTGGAATAATACTTATTAATACATGCAAGGTTTGCAAGATAATCATTGTCCTTTTGCTAAAATTGCAGGTTTTTTGTGAAGCTAGATGAACGAGATGTATTGTTGTACGAGCGGTGTTGTTGTAGGTATAATCAATCGTATTATTGAGAACGTTGCTGGGATTTCATCGATAATCGTTCGTACAACTGATTAAGCTCTCGACGCTGTAAACTTTAATAAGTCCAGTGTATGCCAAAAGCTAGAGATTACCAGACTGAATTTCTACCATTAGAGACGACATTAGAGATCATAGTGAATATTTCCAATCGTAAGTTTATTAGTTGTTTTCCATCATATTTATTATTCAATCCTATAATAGATAGCTTGCTTGACATTTTCCTTCAGTTTGCAGAAGCAGACAGCCTGATAGCATCCCATATGGCAACTGCATTAGGAGTCTCACTTGATCATACAAGTATTCTTTGTACATATCCTTCTGACGCCATCCTTGCATCCAGAGCACTTAAAGGTATTATTGATGTTGGTTGGGAAAATTGCTTGGACACACTGTTGGAACTGTTTAGTCATGGGGTTGTAGAAGCAGGAGAAAGAGGAGAACTGGTCAATTGCATCCTATATTTGAAAGCATATGCAGATGTTATGAAGGAATATTACCCTGATTCACCATTAACATATTTGCAAAAAGTTCCTCTGAAATCATTTTTAAAGTTCTTATTATTGCAAAGAAATAGATGGCCTCGATGAGTTACTCAAAAGCATGGGTATAGGTATTGGTGAGGCAGAAATCAGCTTCAACCATTGGACATCTTTGTCAGCTACCAATTACAATCAAGATTATGTGAAATCTGGGGGTGAAGTTTTTATCAGAGAATCTTGTCATAGAAGCTTATCACTGTCACACTGCTTTCAAAATGCCATTAGGTTTTCAAGTAATTGACTATATCATTCCCTTCAGGTACAATGCTAGCTATGGTATTATTTCAATTCAAAACAAGAATGCAAGAAAAACAACTTTGGTGCTAAGGATATTTCCTCTTTAATACACCCATTAAATTCTTTTGGCAAATGGAAGCAAGATTATAAGATTCTAGGCATCTATAACTTTATTTCTCATAATAAACAGTACTCTCTGCCTACTTCTATACAACACAATGTTTCAGCCTTTTTTACCAATTCTCATTCTCAAAGACTCTACAATACTCCTCTTTTGGTATACTATTAGACACTGCCTGAACAGCCCATCCAAGGTTTTCAACATTCTGAAACTTCCTTCCACCCAATTCTTTTTTATTCTGGGAAGCATTGATTGGACTCTTTCTTTCTTTCTTTAATAGCCAGTTTTGATCACTTGACCATAGATAGTGATAATTCATGAGTAGACATCTGGGAAGGAAATTGAGTACTAGAGTGAGTAAAACTGAAGCAGAACCTTCCCTGGAGTTCAGGATGATGGTCATTTCGCAGCTCTACCGAAATCTAAGTCCGAAACATTTAATTTATTTTTGTATTATTATTAGACATTATAGTAGATTGTATTTCATCAAATAAATTAATTTTTTTTCAAAATCGAAAACGAAAAACACCTCAAATAAATGGATTTGGGTAATAATATTCGCCAACATAAGTCTTCACTAAGATCTTGCTGATTAATGGGCTTGTTTCCACATTCGTTTCTCGAGTACTGCTCAGCAAAGCAATTACCTGATACTAAGTAAAGCTGTTTCTCGTCCCAGAACACGCGTACATAAAAAATTTTTGTGACCAAATTCGTGAGACTCTAAACTGCGGTAGCTAGAAAAAGTGTAAACAAATATGCGCTGTCCGGCTTGCAAATGTTCATACATTTCTCCGGAAAGAAGCGTCTTCTTATTTCATGGTATTCGGTTATTCAGTTTTATTAAGTTATGAGATATTCTGTTGTTCGACTATTTAGTTGTTCGATTATTCAGTTATTCGATTGACGCAATCTGTTCATTTGCATAAAGTGGTCTAGGACTTATGGACTATTTGCATCAAAAGTGTCCCAAACTAGAAAAGGAACGATCAACCAGATCTATTTAATCCTAAAAAAATTACTAATAGTGTTTTGTTTCATAGACTCGGAATTATTCTTTATGCTAGTTAACTCCTAATTTCATCTGAACAGTCTCTAGACTGTTGCAACAAGAATGTATTGATTGACTATTTCTAAAGCTTTCAATCCTTCCTTAGCGTTAGCAGAGTTCATCTCCCTCATCAGTGTCTAAATACTCAGATGAGTGTTGCTTTATTAATTCTAATTGAATAGTCTACATGTGATCGGTGTCAACAAATCATGTGATAACGTAGTTCAGTGCAAATTTTGCGTCCCTTTGTCGCGTTGATAGTCTTCCTTCAAAATGAGTAGCGCAGAATTTAACTGCCACTTTTGCGGCAAAACTTTATATCGAGAAACAATTTGGTGCACTGCTAATTGTGATATAGACAATTCGTGGAGGGGGGGATCGGGAATGCGGAATTGACAAGATATTAAAACGCAATCAATAATTACAGCGAGCATTCTGGCCGAAAAATTCTGCAATAGTTGTTTCCTTTACTTTACTTTGGCCGATGCAACATTAAACAATTGATGGACTACAGGAAATACCGAATATGATTCAATCATCCGAGGAACACAAGTTCATACTCTCTAATGGATCCCATCTCATCAACTATAAAATCTTAGCGAATTGTCTAAGGGTAAATTTGGGACCATCTAGATGGGATTTTGAGGCGAAGGCCGTGATATTGTACTGCATTAGAAAACTACCAAAGTCTTTCTCCGGGCTAGTACTTCATCTTTTCTGCATCAGGTAAAATTTATTTTGATTCAACCGTCGTATAAAATTGCCTAAATTAGTTGTTAACTAGATTCATATTTCGATTGTTATAGCTGAAAGGCTGGCGCTGAATTTGGGAATCCGTTGCGGTTACCTATACTTGATATGAGTCTACTGGAGCATTGGCATTGGTGGCAATAAATCTTTGTGCTATATGTGGCCAGGCTCTCCCGGAAGCCGCAGAGTGGTGCGATGAATGTGAATGACATAAGTTGGGCGACAGTTGGACCAGTGGCAATGCTGACTACGATAAGACTATCGAGGATATCTATACAAATGACGAATCTTCATATTACTATCCTGGTTACCATGTAGAGATCAGTACCGGCAACTTTGGAAAGCTCTATACGGCTGGTCAAGACAGAGTTTGATGACGAACTAAAAGATACCAACGAGACCATATGTATATAACGGCTATCTTCTTTCCTGTTATTTCTGAATTGCAGCTGAATGATGGTGCGGAAATTTTCTGCGGGTGTCTGCCTGTAGTAGAGTTGAGGCTTCAAAAAAAAACAAAACAAACGGATGAAACAGGGTCCCGAGCTTAAAGGGCTCTTGGAAATGAAAGAATGGCAACCTACAAAGACAAGAGCTTTTGGCTTATCAGGACTTGATTCGACAGGAGAGTTGGCTCTCGTGAGTCGTCGCGCTTGTTATTCTTGTGGTGTTTCCTACCCAAACGACAATGCTTGGTGCAAAGACTGTGACTGGAAGCAAACAACCGGGAATGGCCAAGTGGGAAATTCAAATAATACGCTCACAAGAGAATGCATATAACAGAAACTGGTGTGGATACCATTGTCTTCGATGAATTCCTTTGGCAGTATTTTCGCAGCTGATTTTGTTGACGGCCAATATAAATTTACTGCCGATGACGCGGACAGCGACTATATCATCACAATCGGGCTACCTGCCGTGTAATCGTCAAACTTTTCCAGACAACGATAACAGAAACTTTTTGAAAGAGGTACTTGATTTGATATTTGGTGCCGTGAAATATAGTTCGAGACTAGTACGTGTATAATAACCTTTAATTAGCTGAAGGAATGCGTTACGGAGGTAATCGGATCGAGCAAATGGGGTCTTCAAAAGTCAATACCAAACTGGCAACCAAACTGAAACCTTGGGTCGGATTCCAGTGGAGAGTATGCACTAGGAGTTTCTGGCGCGTGTTTGGGTTGTGACGCATTTTCATCGGTTCCGGGTCTGGCGATGCTAAAGAGGCGCAAAGAATGTGATCCAAAACGGTTAATGTTCAGTTGGACTAGCGGCAACGAAGAAATCGTCACTATCATCCGAGAGACGCAAAAAGATGGATTTTGGTCACATGTCTCAAATGGATCCCATGGGCAAATTTAGTAGAAAATGGGGCACGTACATTTGGTGAGAAAATTGTCCCAAACTATAGCCGAATCTTTACCTTCTGTTGTGAGTCTAACACAATAGTATTGTTCTGATTTAGACAATAGAGCATCGTTTTCTGAGTTCAGAAAGAAGAAAAAAACCACTTAAATATGAAGGCCCCCTCCCTCAATCGCCAATTAACTCCACACTACTATTTCGAAGTATCACATCGGACCTTACCTACCTATGTGGAGCTGTGACTTCTCCTAAAATATAACGAGGTTTAGTATTCACGAGTGGGTATGCTGCGCGGAGCAGGAGAATTGTGTCGAACTATCCGGTCAGAAAATAATCAGCAGCCATACGATGGTAAATTTAACGACACTCACGACCTTGTGTCGATCGGTAGAAACCACGGTATGTATCCGGCTAGCATGAATGAATATGAATGTCCTTATTGAAAGCAGAGAAAATAACGCAGATCATGGACTTTAGGTTTTCAATTCACAAAGATGAAGTAAAGAAGTAATTGGAGCGATGCCATATGTTGCACCAGAGGTTCTTGACGGTAAACCATACGCACAGGTATTTTTTAAAACTTACTTCTTGTGTGCAGTGTCACGCCTATACCTACATTATTCAAACACAATTCTTCAATATTGTTCTTCAGAAAGCAGATATTTATGCATTTGGGCTCATAATGTGGATGTTTGAAATGGAAGACACTCTCCATTCGAATGAAGATCGTAATCGGGAGTATACTCCAGCGCTTGAGAGGGCTAGGAACATGTTAAAAGGCCATCGTGCCAAGTTTAGCGGAGAAACCGGCTCATCCTGAAGCAGTAGACTTTCTTGTCAAATCTTCTATATGCTAGCATAATGTCAATTTATTAACTTGACGCTTTATATACCATTGATCAGATTTTATTAACCAACTATCAATAACTTTGATAAATAGGAAACTACAATCGCTAGTAATATTAATTAATATACTAACCGACTGCCTTTTATCTTCTATCAGATTATATCCAATTACCATGTCGTGTTCGGGGCTTATTTTTTTGGAAATATTGAGCATTCATATCTTCTCATTTTATTTATTACCCCGCATCTCACAGAATAAATTATACTATGTCGAGTCAAGTTTGAAAGTTATGTCAATACCTACCTTATTTGCCGCGACTTTTGATTATGTGACCACCGTTTTTTCTTTACATATGAGAAAGCAAATGATACACGACACCTGAGAATTAGCACCATCCTAATAAATTAACTCCGCAGCTCACATGTATTACTCTCTTGCTAGCAGATTGCCACGCGTTTTGGCCTTAGTATACATACAAGCTGCCTGTGGAGAAGGTTGGTAAACTGACATTGATTTAATAGATTAAGCCAGACCTTACTTTTAGATCACTTTATCGGTATCGTTCTCCGTTTAGTAGTTTACTCAACTATGTATGCGTGACATCCGAGTAATTGACGAGAATTACGTGCGAGAAATTTTATAATATGGATCATGACAAAAAAACCGTATTTATCTGGTCCTTTTATAATTTTCTTGCAAGTTAGTAATAGTAAATACCCATGTAGTAGTTTGACAGTCCATAAGGCAGTCGTCAAGCATATTTGAGATATGCGTTACCATTCTAGTTAGATGAGACTACGGTGTAAAGATTCGATCGAATGCAATCGGTCTTTGGAAAACGGATTTTATTATTTACGGCGAGTGTATTGAGCGTATATTGTAAGTATACGGGAACGCCTATAAATATTGGCCAAACGTTAATTGACACGAGGCAGAGCTAAACAACAAGGGAGGGAAGTGTACACGCATTAATCTAGTTATGAATACAAGCAGTCATGCTCTTCTTTTATAAATTAGATGTTATTTTATTTTCCATCTACAACGGCAAGGTAGTATATATTTTAAATTTGGTTTCCAGCGACTATAATCATGAAAGTTGTAATTGTCCAAGTGTACATTATAACTTAATTTCAGGAATTACATGTAATATTGTAATATATAACACATTTTTGTAAGCGTGTGGCCTATTGTCAGCGTTAATTAAATTCAACATTGATGTTGTTTGGCCTAACTGCTTATGTTTCTTGTATTGGCAGGGCAAGTTTTTAATTTTGTTTTGTGTCATATTATAAATAAACGTCTATTACGTCACAAAAACATGTAAATGGCACTGGAGATAAAAAGTGGTCTACATTCTGACAAAGGCGATTTTCGTGAAATCTTGCTAATTAAATACTTATACTAATAGGTGTACAGTGAATTTTTATCATAGTACAGTAACTAAACGTGTTTAAAACATCCATCACTATGTACTGAATATAAGCATAAAGATTAAATTACAAAATTTAAGCTTAGAAAATAATAATGTGGCCCAAGCTAATTACAGTGCTTGTTTAGTAAACATTTATCGCAAGGGCAAGGTATTAATGTATATTTTATAAAAAAAGGTTAGATAAGCAATTAGATAAGAGGCACTATTTTTATTCAGCTATCCAATTTAATCTCTAGATAAGCAATTAGATAAGAGGCACTAGTTTTATTTCAGCTATCTGATACCAAAACTAAAAAGTCATAGGTAATTACACAGAATATTGTAATTTAATTGACCGTGGTTAACAAAGTTTATAATAAATTTTCTAAAAAGCTTACCTTAGTATTTATCATTGAGGAAAACGTGTAAAGCACATACTAGCACACAGGTATTTTAACACGTTTGCTTATTGCACCATTGCTGGCTGCATGGTAACATTATTACGATGAGCACCTATCGGTACTTTTGTCAGGATACTATTAAACCATTTTCCAGAGCCAGCACAATTACTACCGTCTGAATGATTACTACTAGATAATTTCGAAACATCGTTGAAGCTTTGCATTAACACAACAGATTGAAGACAATGGTAACAACAATATATTATCGACGATAATAATAATAAAGATGATGGAACTCTAGCCTTGCATCAAATAATAGTAATAGGTTGTATGACTCTATGAATCAAAACTCGTAGACTTGGAAGGGGCAAGTTGTGCTTACCAGTCAGTTATCACTTAATATTGCGCTTTGTACGTTAGAATTAGGAAACGATAATATGGGTGGTGGTGCGACCAACCGTTGTGCTGAATTAAGAATTTAGCATCTGTTAAAAGAAGATTAAGATTTAAAAATAATTGGTATTAGAACAACCTACAATTGTTTGTAACATTTTATGATTTTAACCTTAACGGGTTTCCATAGCCCATACTCCTGGGTTATAATAGAAACTATTTTAATTCATTATACCCTACTGGGGAGGGAAAGAGAGAAAAGTTGAACAAACATGTTGTGGGGATGTGCAGGGAATTCGAGATGGGAGGGGGGGGTATTGATTATCACTACACACCAATTACCAAGTCAGCATAATTTAATTGGATCGATAACCAAATAGAATTTCAGGTATTGGAACTTGCCCCAGTGCAGTATCTGTGATGGCGATGACGATGCGGCTGATGATTTCAATCGTAATAATAATCATACTAATAATCAGTTGCTGTTTCAATTAAAAAAAAATTTTTTTTTCAAATCTCGCACAGACTTTCTACCAGTAACTTTGATAACCCATGCTGATAACATGCTCATAGCATGCTAGTGTGCGATTACAAAACCCGATAATCCAAACATGTTATTGTCATTTAGCCATATTTCTTCTCTTGCATCGTCGGAGTTCTGAGAATGCTCTCCGACGTTAATACATTTAGTAGTATCAGTTATTGTTTTAGAGACAACCACATTCACAATCAAGCAGAAATCAAGTTTGTCCATGACAAATTAGGAATGGTCATATGTGATAAAACTAACAATTGTGACATAAATAGTTATACGATTATGTTGGGAATGGCAATTGTAATATGTTGTATGTGTTGTATGTGTTGTGTGTGTTGTATGTGTTGTATGTGTTGTATGTGTTGTATGTGTTGTGTGTTCTTTATTAGTTTATTTTAAGATATCGTTTGTTTCCATTGTATAAATATGCATGTTCGTTAAGTATTGTAACTCGTAATTTATATTGTCTGCTATTTAGATGTACATATTTGTATAGAACAATTCGTATTCTATGCTGTATAAATATTATTATAAAGTACTTATTATATACTGTTATAATATGATGTATATTATACGCCAGTTTGCAGTGGTCTTTGTTGTTGTTGTAGGAGACTAGTTTATTGTGTCAGGTTGTTATAAACTCCGACAATGACAATGGACACAGGCACATTCTCATCTTGATTGGAGAGATGGAGAGATAGACATGAGATTGAAGTGTGCGAGTAAAAGAGGAAGAGTGTGTGTAGGGTGTGTAGGGTGTGTAGAGAGGTGTGAGAGTATGTGGCTATTACGAAATACACTAACATGTATATTTATTTACCTGAACTTTATTATCTTGTTTCATTGTTGTTCGAATCTTAAATATCAGCCATTTCACAATTCGTTATTCCTGTATACCGAGCATCATTTGCATGCATGAAAAAGAAAAAAGATAATAAAAAAGGATAACCCACATCGTAAAGGTTAACGAATAATCTATCGAGATTCTGGAGAATTTCTGGGACACTTGCTCCGTTTTTTACAACGGTCCTCAACCGCACAAAAAGATATAAAGGAGAGCCTCATCCTGCAGAAAGCGAAAAAAACTCACTCATAATTTATTGTACATAATCATCATCAATATTAGCAAAATAGCGAGAGAGAGAAAGAGAGAGATAAGAGTGGAAAAAAAGAGAGGATAAAAATACCGAGAGTATATACTAATAATCAAAAGCATATTTTGTCACGCATCATTCTATCTACATACTCTCAATAATACTCTTTGAAAAGAGAAGGAAAACCTTTCCCACTTAACATTCACAACACTTGTCATTTTACACACAGATTTATTCCATCCTCCAATACCACAATAATCCATCTCAGCATTATATCCTCTTCCCCCATACCTTTAAAAAAATGTTCTCCACAGAGCAAACCGAGCTTCCCCTTACACGACCGTATGTACCCCGCCACTCTCTTCACTCCTCCTTTTTCACCCTTCCCTCAAAGCAACTTGCATACTCCTCTTCTCTCTCCCCACCCGGTTCACTGGAATATGACGAATCAGCTGGCAGTTGGAACACAAGCATGTACATCGATCCACAAGAAGGGATACAATCGCCACGCTTCTATTCACTAGCTAAGCATGCAAGAGACATGCTAGAACCAGCCATAAAAGCAAAATTGGAAAATACAGCAGAGGCTGTCGGAAGGCTATGGAGTGTCGATCCAGAAGTATACGAAACTGGCTTCTTTGTCGGTCCGAGGCTATTTGTGAGTCGGCTGAGATTAGGCGATATCAAAGCAGCAAAAATTGAGAGCATGAGTGTTGCTGGTTATGTATCTATTGCAAGTTGGGGAGGTAAGTTTGGAGTGGCTGCGAGTGTTGGTTGGGTTAGCGGTGCGAGCGTTGGTTAGGAGGCGAAAAGGGTGTTAATATATATATGGTAAAACCCAGTTGTTTAGAGTGCATTGTCGTCGAGTAAAAAAGTGTATCTCAAATGTCCTTTGTCATTTCTAGTTTAAGAAATATTATTACAAACATTGTCATTATTACCTAACTTATATAACACAACCCAATTTCTTCTCCCCAATATTGTTTTCGTAACACAATAGAAACATGCCCACGGAGCGCTCTCCCTGTGAAATGTTTATGGGCCAGTGATGAAGCCGATTTCGGGCTGTTTCTCGTAATAAACAAGACTTTCCGTGCACCTGGATATCTCGAATTACCGGATGACTCTTCATCTGAAGTAGCAAAAAACTTGCGATATAGGGTAATGTTTCTACGACTGTCGATTGTGTGTGTTATAAGTGTCGTACGTTTTGCATCACTGAATTCATTCATATATCCTCGAATTACACAGGACAGCGTGGTAGCAATTGTATATAATGGTACACCTAATAGAAACCTACTCGACGAACGCAATGCTTTGCGATATCGAGACGCTGATGAAGATGGTCGACCCAAAGTCGTATGTATTAATCTCCCGAGTTATAAACAAACAGGGCCCTTTTTTGTGCATCCAAATAGAACACAAACAAATAACCAAGAGTAAACAAAGACCATCAAATGAACATTGATTAATGGACTGCGGAAGTAAAAAAACAAATGACTACATCTTAGACTAAAACAACAAACAATTGTTATTTTATCTAGCCCGAAGACTTGAGTACCATCCTTCATCCACACGCAAAATCCGTCGCATCCGGCAGCGTTATCGGTCTCCCTTCTCTTGATCCAGATTTACCGCCGACAATGTTTCGTATCTCTGCCAGTCTGTGGGATGGTGCAAGCGGTGGACCCGTTTTTGCTATACGTGGAACGGACATTTTGCTTATTGGAATGGGTAAGTAGATTTTTGAAAAAGAGAGCGGGAATGATGTGGATGAATTTAAAAGGAACTTTTTTTTTTTTATTTGTGCCAACTTTGGTTGCTGATTGAAATTTCGTTTGGGATATTATATTTTTAGTTTCATTATGTCCGGGTGAAACAGAAGGAAATGAGGCGTCATTCTTATACAACTGGCACAAAAGCAAAGTGGCAGCTGCCATTAAAAAGGCACAAGAACAACAGGTAACGGGTTGATCGTAATCTCTCGTTTCACCGGTTTCTCCTTGCTTTCCTCCCTTGCTCACATCCATTACTTCTTGCAGATGTACCTTTTTAGCAAAGACGAACTCCAACACTTTCACAAGCTCACACGTAGGCCAACACCACCATACAAACGTGAAGACTCGGGCCGGGCACGAAACTCAATACCATCAAAAAGAACGTCCCGCATATTATGTCCACTTCCCGCAACAAGACCCTCGTCGATCATTGTAGTTCCAGAAGAGAAACACGGGATAGATGGACTGGACTTGGACATACCAATGCCACAAAAAAACGAGAGAGAAGAAAGACGAGATAGCGCTTGCGAGATTGCTAGCGACGAGGACAACAAAAAAGAGCTGGTCGGGTTTCCGTTCCTTCCGCCTCTGACCAAAAACACCAACTACGAGAATCGCCTCCCGCCCGTATCCGTATCTATATTATCCGATCTCGACTCTTCGTCCGATCTCTCACCATTCAATTCGACGATAACCGTATCGCCGATACAGACAATTTCATTACAGACGCCGTTAACGGTTTCCAAGCCGACGCCTCGAGTCGTAGCCAGCAAGCAACCAACAAACAAGACACGTTATACTCGGCTACACCCACGGACATTGTTTAATGATGGACTTCTTTATTTCTTTGTAGTCGCTTTTGTTCTTTTATTTGGTGTAATTCCGTTACATCCAAAGAGTTGAACGAGAGGAGAGGTATTTTAAAAAAGAAGGAAATTTTGTGGAGGAAGTAGTTGTTTTTGACAATTATTTAAAAAAAATATGCATGCACGATTATCGCGATTTGGCGGGGGGCTATTTAATGTAGGAGAAAGTATTTATTGTATTAAGGTTGTATTGCATTTTTGAGTAATTTGGGTGTATGTTATTTACACGCACGTGGAAGTAGAGCGTGTAAGTAATCATGTACCAAAATTCTCATAAGTATCGCAGCGCGTAATACTTGTAAATTGAAAATTCTTCATCATATGACTCCATATTATTTATATATCATTTGTAAGTTTTTTTTTTATTCTTTCGGGAGAGAGTGTGAGTGGGTGGTGTGCGTGGGTGGTGTGCGTGGGTGGTGTGCGTGGGTGGTGTGCGTGTGTGTCTGGGATGACCTTCCGTATGTACAAAGTGTTTATACTTTCAGTGTAGAAAAAGAAGGTTTCTCATTCTATATGCAGGCATATATTTATAAAAGTTTTTTATACGATGAGGATTATTATATATTATTGTAACGAGGCGAGACTAAACACAGGTTAATATTTTGTTGAATGGATACTTATAAAATATGAGAGACTTGTTGTTAATAAAAATCTAAATAAAAAAAATAAATTAAGATTTAAAAAAAAAAAAATGTCAAAGTGGTTGTTTGTAATGAAATCTAATTTAACATACTTTTAAGATTAAATATTAATAATAGATTTACCAAATTGGCAACAAACAAACATTGAGTTTGGACATATACGTATACGAATAACAATTCATATACATCGTGCATTGATTGTATGAAAACGAGCCACATTATATGAACGCAAACGGTGAAATTGCATAACCTCACAAATTTCTTATGTTAATAGTTTTAAAGCACGTCTTTATGAGACGTATTCGTTTTGTACACCAATGATTTCATTGTTCACACCATGCAGAATTATTGTCACTTTGTATTTTGCAGTAAAAGTACAACGTATATGTCAGACAAAGCGTCCTTCTTCGCAGATACTGTATATGAAACTAGGAAAATTGAACGGAATGATTTCAGGGTTTCAAGATCTTTATTATTATGTAGAATTGTCACTCACATTGGTCATATGACACCATCAATGCATATGCATAGTATTAGCAAACAAAGGAAAATAGATTTATTTTTACATTTATATAAGGAAAAAGCAGATGGCGTACAAAACGAAATTATTTATAGTAGAAGAGCAATTGCTTTGACGTAATATGTACCTATTATTCTATTAGAGATTGAGCAACGTGCAGCAGGAAATCTTCTTACAATTATATGATTGAAATCTAATGGTCCAAACTTTTTATTTTGAGTCTAATAACAATTTATTAACAACATTGTCGATAAAATTTATTGATACAATTCTCGCGTTATCTGATAAAATGTAGTCGATGTACATGTTGACAATCAAACTTGTAGATGAATATTATTCGTAATTTGACGCTTTCAACCTTTAATGATCGTTTGGTTTAATTTCTGTGAATAACATTAAAGGTAGAATAATAATGTATTTTGCCGTTTGTGCATATAAGTTCGAACGTTCAAAGTATTAAGTTCCCATAGTTCTCTAATTCGGACGCGAAAGATCAAATGAAAGATCAAATGATAAACGTCCTTACTATTTTATGATTAGAATCCAACTGTCAAAGTTCGAGACGACTGACAACACGACTTTGATGCTTGTCAAAAGTGCATTAACATTATCAATGTGATCGACATTGTTTAAATGAAGATCATGCTATGTTGACATTTCAACGGAAAACGATATGACTACATACGGCACGATGAAATCTATACGGTTGGAGCGACGGAGCATGCGGTTCATGCTTAATCACGGTGGAACACGTTCCGCCTATCATCACTGAAGAAGTAACTCGAATACAGACTCAGCCAGCGACGACTCATAATGCTGATATGAAAGTGAGATTTAATATCGAAGTGGAATTGTGAGAGAGCACACAGGAGCCAATTCACTACGCCAGAGGATAATTATGATACTCTTTGGGTATTCTAGTCTATGGTGAGGTAGCTCCCTTGCCTAATCCATCTAACATTCAGTATTTACCTAGCCAACAATCAATTACGAAGTTATCAACATATGTTCTACCGTCAAGGATAATATATTCGATGTTAGTACAAGGCTAAATCAGAGACATAGTAAACGAATAATGAAGCAGGCTTGACGTGACTGCTAAATGGGTATTAATCAACGGGGCACGTAATGAATACAAACAAAAAATGTGGGTAGTAGTAGTATATACTGTGGCGTTTAGCTGGTACCAGTATCATTTTAATTACAAACTCCGGACGGAGTATTTATACTATTTTACATTTTAACTATACATATATATATTAGTACTATTAAGAGAATTCTATTTTCCTTTCGGTGTCGACAATTAATTAAAATGTACACTACTTGTCAACGTCCGATATAATGTCTCTGCTACTATCTGGTTCAATTTCCAACGATCCCTGTCTAAGATTAAATAAGACAGTTCCTCTTATACTCAATGTCCATGTATTATCTGGTTCAATCTCTAACGATTTTTGTATATCATTGAAAGCATTATCATACTGCTTGAGATTAAGATACACAGCTCCCCTTATACTCAATGCCCATGTATTATTTGGTTCGATATCTAACGACTTGCTGAAATCTTTTAATGCATCTTCATATTTCTCAAGATAATAATATACAGCTCCCCTCTCACTTAATGCCCATGAACCATCTGGCTCAATGTCCAACGAATTATTGAAATCTTTCAATGCATTATCATACTGCTTGAGATTCCGATAGACGCTTCCACGTCTACTCAATGTCCACGTATCATTTTGTTTAATCTTCAATGATGTATTAAAATCACTCAGCGCGTCATCATACCGCTCAAGCATAAGATAGACGGCTCCCCTTGTACTCAACGCCCAAGCGTCAGATGGTTCAATCGTCAACGATTGGTTTAAATCATCCAATACCTTATCATAACGTTTAAGGTCAAGATAAACGCGTCCTCTGTTTCTCAATGCATTTGCATTCATTGGTTCAATAGCCAACGATTTGTTGAAATCATTTAATGCTTTGTCATACTGTTTAAAATTAATGTAAACAGTTCCTCTTACGCTCAACGCCAATGGATTATCTGGTTCAAGCTCTAATGATTTATTAAAATCGTTCAATGCATCATCATACTGCTCAAGATTAAGATAGACAGCTCCCCTATTTTTCAATGCAGACACATCATTTGGTTCAAGCTCCAACACTCTGTTGAAGTCACTTAATGCGTCACGATACTCCAATATCTTTAATCTCTTGTATACATTTTCACAGAATGGTCGCTCGTCCGGGTCTTCGTTCCAACATTCTGAATACACGTCGACATATTCTTCAGGTGTTCCGACGAATGGGGGATCCCGGTAGCCTTTAAGCCTACACGCGATGATTGTAGCGTTCTCAGTACGTCCTTCACAAGGAATTTTTCCGGTTGAAATTTCCCAGAGCAGTACTCCAAGACTAAATATGTCGGATTTTTTCCCACGTCTGTACAACTCGTCCGTGAAAGATGCTGGATCCTGGTATCTCAGCGTGCCGAGACCATGCGATGGGGACATTTGCTTCAACACACTAGATAAACCAAAATCTGTTAGCTTTGCGATGCCCAATTGTATGAGAATATTTTTGGAAGACTGGATACAAAAGATAGTTAGTGTTTGATTATCTGGAACGGTTATATGGCGGCAGCGAGTAGAAAGACATTCAACTTGTAATACATACCAAATCTTTGTGAATAATCCCGAGTGAATGTATGTATCTTAACCCATCGACGATTTCTAAACCTAATTTGTATTTGTCTTTCCATGACAGATCCTTAAAGTGTTTCTCTAGGTGTTCACGCAGAGTCCCACCATCAGCTAGTTCAAATATCATGTGATAGTCATTCTTGTCTGCATCAGAAAAGCGTGAATCAGTAGCTATTCTTAATAAAATAATAAGGCTGAGTTGCCAATCAAATACCTTTGCATAGACCTAAAAAGCGGATAATGTTGGGATGAGAATTCGCTTGCCTATGATTTTTCAACTAAAGTATAAATGATTAACCTTAATTTGGCGTCGTCGATATGCAAAGTTAGCAGTAACTGGACGAGTAACAAATAAGAACCTCTCGAACAAACAATCCGTACAAATCTTCCCCATTACTGTTTGTGGCCAAAATCAATGTCTTCACCGCAACAGTCATTCCAGAAAGAAAGTGTTTCTTGCCGAAGATTGACTTGGGAAATCTGAAGCGCTTAACCGTTGCCTTTTGTACCATACCGAACGCTCCGATGCCAATAGGTCTTGGATCTACTTTTATGTCGCTTTTTGGGCAACAATAGATAGTCCCTTCTTGAATGCTCGTATCTAGCCATTTTTTATATATATTAATATTTTTAGACGGTTTGTTCTGGGACATGACCGATATAATTGAAAAGCGACCCAACTACATCAAGATGTGTTTAAAGTTATTCCAATTACACAGGCACCCAATATGGTAAAAAACTGCGGATAAGTAAGATAATGATAAGCATCTGATCGAAAGTGGTACAACTGACATTCCACTAAGTGTTGGAGTAAAAGATCCTTTTCTAAGAGTCTAAGAGTTTTTGCTAATCGGATTATCACGCGAGAGCGACATTAGTGCGTGAATAACCGCACTCTGTCATTTCCGAGAAACCCAATAGTTTGAGGATTTGTACCCTTTCAAGAATACACCTTTTATGGTCAAAGCTCGAAAAACCGACAGTGGCGTAAACTTCATCAAATCATAGTCAATTATCACTAACACAATGGACTAATTTGAACTAACGCATAAAAGTGTCGGAGTATTCGGTACAAATTTGTACCGAATTTTGATTCGATAAGCAGTCACAATTCCTTAATACTTTAGAGTGTAACCGCCATGCAAAATCAGGAGATGAGTGACCTTGTTGAGATCCGACTCTCGAAAGATGATAGCCAAGAGATATAGATAGTGAGCCTGAAGGAAAGCAAAACGTTAGTAATAATGAAAGAGTTTATGGCGAATAGGTGGGAGTAAGAGGCAGAGGGAGGGGGAGGAAAGAAAGGTATGCCTTCACGGCAGCGAGATATCCAGGGACTCCATAAAGGTTATGTAACATTGCCGGCCGAAATAGACCTAGATAACATTAGTGTGCTAAGTTGTTCTAACCGATGAACAACTACAGAAAATTGTTGAAAGTAACCAATAACTGCGAACAAATAAAAAAGTGTTAGAGGTGGTCGCCCTTGGCACCAATTGACATTTTGATGAGTGATTTACTATGAGTGGTCATAAAATCTATGCTGTTGAGGATTTGTAGAATTCAAATGAAAGAGCAATTCACAGCATTTATTAATTAAGATTTCAACAGATAAAATGATTCCTTCATATTTCTGATCCATACTCATGTAAATATTCTAAGTGGGCAGAATATTCCTAATTACAGTTACCACTCAACCATAATTTAGATTTTCTGATTGGCGTAAACCGCTGCTACTAATTCATAAATCAGAAAGCTGGTTTGTAGTTGAGTGGCAGCTTATTTAAAATTTGTGAGATAAATTAAGAATGAATTTAGTCTAATTACCGTCAGATATTTGCGTCGGAGTGCAATATATCGATACACGTTCGCGCGAATGAAGCGAAAGAAACCCAACAACAGACATAAACAAGGCGCAATTAAGAAAGAGCTGATATAATACTAGTTATATGACTTTAAAATAGCACAAACGGGAGGCCAAGTGTCATACACTTTCTTACAGTAGCGGTCATAAGTATCCGAACGGTCATATCCTGCAAATTTACATAATAATTTCCAAAACAAAAGTTTGACACAATACCTGATCACGTGTAAAATTTCAAGCTTGAGCGAATGTCTCCAGCAAATTTTCCAAACATTGGATATTTTGTTTCGAAAGTATGAAAACATATGAAAACATATCAAAATATCATTCGCTTATTTCGAACTTAAACTTCAAAAATTCCTTTTGTTTATCTAAGCCATCTATACATGGTTTTTGGAACATCTAGTCGAATTATGAAACGATTGTTACTATAAAAGGAAACAACTGCGCATTATAGCTCTTAGAGTCATGTTGCACGCTTCATAGCGATCACGCTATAATTTGCCCATAGATCCTAAGCATAATTACTGGTTCAAATAATAAAAGAGAGAAAAAAAGAATACAAAATTTTGTTCGAGATATGAATTTTTGAAGTTTTATGGTTGGCATCGCATAGAGGATGCAGTATAGTCCGATGCAAATATTCGATGTTTGGAAAATTTGCTGGAGACATTCGCTCGAGCTGAAATTTTACATGTGATCAGATATTATGTCAAAATTTTGTTTTAGAAAATTTAATATTAAGCAGTTATTATTATGTAAAGTTGCAGGATATAACCGTTCGGATACTTATGACCGCTACTGTATATATCGATTGGTGAGATTTGCCGTTACTTGATAGTTAGAATATTGTTATCCAAGATGTTTTTTCACATCGTTGTATTCCTCTATTATTTTCGACTTTATACACACTAATACAATAGGACGTCCCGCTAGATAATTGCTATGGTGCTCGACAATAAAATGGTATGACTTTAAAATCCTTCAACTCCCCCAAAACTTTATATTTTTAAAAACTGACCGGTAATTTTCTTCTTCATATGATATACTGGTCAAATTTTTAAAATATGGCTTGTATGAAAAAGTTATAAGCATTTAAACTTGGGTTATTTATCTATATTAATTTTACATTTCGAATAAACAAAACACGCGAAAAATTTTCTCACCGATCTAAATTTTATTGGTGGAATCGGGCCAGCATATTAATTGTTTCGATTGCAATAATAAATGTCTTTCAGCGTAGTTGATCAAATGTCCTTGTACAATTAATTGTCTTGATTACAGATAATTTAATGGTAACTAATTGCAATTAAAGTATAATTGATCAAGAGGATAAGAAAGTGTGTGGTAAAGATTGCAGCTAGTGCAATCAACGATACCACTATAGAAATCCTATAGAATCGTCAACTTGATAATTCAGTCCAGATTTTCTTCAACAACGATCAATATTAGAAAGAAGCAATCATCGAAAGAGGACATATCTTTGAACGATACCCAAAATTTCATTGCGAATACAACTTCATAAAATGATACTGGGTTTATGTAAAACGCGTGTTACTTTACAGTAATCTACTAGCGGAAGCTCTACTACTAACTCCCGTATAAGTTTCATATACTAACCTTTCGTTATCGCGCCAGCTTTTTGAAGGGCCCATATACTCCTTGTCTTTGTAATTATACGAATATCTCTCTACGGTTTCAACCGAATTGTTAATTTTTAAACTGACTGGGAAGCATGTTACACGAATTTTAGCCCGCCTATTGCGTATATAGACATTTTCTGTTTCAACGGAGGATACTGTGATGGTAAGGGGTAGTTATTCCTTTCATTCGAACGGCTGCTATCTAAATATAATTAAAAAATTTAATGTAAACAATTAATTGAAGAAAAGTATTACTAGAATTTACTATTTTAAGTGTAATTTTAGGTACAATTGCATAGTGAGCACGGCTAGTGGACAACTGTTCATATTCCGGACGACTATGTTGCGATCGATAACTTCTTTCAAACGAACGTCCTCTGTCTAAATATAAATAATCGGTTACTCTATTAAGATACTAAATATATAAAAGTTTCTATTACAATCTTCACTGTTCGTATAATCAGCACGAACATGAATGGTGAGATGATGACCAATGGGCTGAATATGGTGGAGAGCGTGAGCATGGTGGGGAGCGCGATGGAGGGCGTGATATAAAGCGTATGAAGAGCGTGTTGGAGAGCATAGCGTACGATTATTATGGTATTTGACACCTGGTGAAAGTAATTCGATGTTTACCAAAGGTGTCTTTTCCTTATCGATCAATACAATTAGAATTGGAAATATCGAACCGTAGATTCTTCATTGTCATAAATGGTTTTTGAGAGCAAAATATTTTATATTTATGATATTGAAACCATTTTTATATGTAATAAAAAACTAACTTTTGTACCATCTACTGTACCATTTGTCTAAATGGAATGTTTATTTTGATTTAATAAAACAGGTTGTGATGACCACTTCCCTATTTTTTACCTTGGCGCATAAATGAGTTTCGACAAAGCGCTTACTGATTCTCAAAAAGTGCAACAAAACTAGGTTGCAATGATGCAACAGTCGCAATAATGATAAAATGCCATCGCACAACAGTTCAACGGTTTTTTGCAGCCTAATCAGGAAAAAACGATCGCGCATTCTCTCAATCGGCGGGATCGACAAAAATTGAAAACCGCTGTTACTGCGAACAACAAAAATTCGAAACAATTTCTGAAGCTAAATACTGACGAATTTCCACAAGAACACTTCACTATGCACTTCATGAAGAGATGTACGTTCGTGTATTTCTTTAAAAAAGCCTCTCATCTTAGAAAAAAAATCGGGAAAATTCGACTCGAGTGGGCAATGGAAAGGAAGGAATTAGACTGTTGCAGACTGGAAGAAGAAAGTCATATGGTCGGATGAATCTACTTTCTCTCAGTTGTGGTGGCACTGAAAAAAACGCAATCCTCAGCTTTCAAATGTTCACAAACTTGAGAAGGCAGCAAAAGAAGAGTGTAATGCGCTTCCGCAAAAAGTATATCGTAATTTGATACTATCTATGCCCAACCGTATTCAAGCTGTGATTGCTGCAAAATGGAGGAAATACTAACTATTGACGTTTACTTTAATATTAAGTAAATAAATTTTCTTTTGGGTTTGATAAAAAACTTCTTCAATCAATCCTTTGAGATATTAATAGTCTGTTAAGATGATTAGATTATAACAAGGACATTCCTACGACGATTCTAATATCAGCAAGAATGATAATTGTTACGACAATTGAATTGGTCCTTCTGTGTAACATTAAAAGAGGGTAGGAACTTGCCGGCTTTCATATCCAGTGCTATGCTACATATTAGATAATAAGTAAATCTACTTAGTAATCGCAAAGCTACTATTGTAGTATATCTCATATTACATGCTTGCAGCAGTGACGGTTGTGGTTGATTGAGATAAACAAAACTTTTAGGAATTGTCATCAAATTTCATATGGTAACGGGATTTATATATGACATATATAGTATATTTGTATTTACTTCGTGAATTAAAAAGGACAAACATAAAACAAGCAGAACCTGTTGCTGGACTTAGTAAAATGGTAGTTCTGTTTAGCACTTAGTAACAACTTCCTCGTCACAAAACTTCATGAATAGAAGATATAAGATATATTTGTGATATAATTTGACATAAAAGTCAAAGTATCAAACTTTATTCACAGAATACGTAACCAATAAATTGTTTGTATTACTAAATTAATAAACAGATATATCCTGCTCTTAAGGTGGGAATATAAATGAGAAACAACTGTACTGATTGTTGGTCAAGCATTTTATACTAACAAATAAATACCTTATTATGGTTCAGTGCTTGTGAATATACTTATCAAAAATATTATACAATTTCTTGCCAACTCAAATTTTCAATTGACTGAATTAAAAACTAACTAATAATTGCTCTCCATTGGTTGCATCTAAAAAACTTATACCAATTTTAAGCCTAATATCTATATAAATGCATCATTTTTATTGACTTCCAGTGATTTATTAATATCATTCAATGCATCATTGTGTTGCTGAAGTTTCATAAAGACAGCCCCCCTTGCTCTCAATGTCAAGACATCATTTGGTTTCATCTCCAATGATTTGTTAAGATCAATCAATGCATTATAATATTGACTGAGTGCAAGATAGGCATTTCCCCTTCCTCTCAATGTAGATACATCATTTGGTTTAATATCTAATGATTTACTGAAATCGTTCAAAGCATTATCATACTGAGCAAGTTTGTAATAGACAGTACCCCTTGCTCTTAAAGCATCTGCATTATTTGGATTAATCTCCAATGATTCATTGAGATCATTTAATGCATTATCATATTGCTTAAGATTAAGATAAACAGTTCCCCTTAGGCACAATGTAACTGCATCATTAGGTTTAATCTTTAATGTTTGGCTGAGATCCATTAATGCACCATCATATAAGTTGAATTCAAGATAGACACCTCCCCTAGCACTCAAGATAGATGCATTATTTGGTTCAATTTCCAACAATTTACTGAGATCATTCAATGCATTCTCGTACTGGGCAAGCTTATGATAAACAGATCCCCTTGCTCTCAATGCATCTGTATCAATTGGATTAATCTCCAATGATTTGCTGAGATCAATTAATGCATTATCATATTGCTTAAGATTAAGATGGACATTTCCCCTCATGCTCAATGTAACAGCATCATTTGGTTTAATCTGTAATGACTTGTTAAGATCAGTCAATGCATTGTTATACTGATTGAGTGCAAAATAGACATGTCCGCGTCCTCTCAATGTAGATGCATCATTTGGTTTAATCTCCAATGATTTACTGAAGTCATTCAAAGAATTATCATATTGAGCAAGGTTGTAATAGACATCTCCCCTCATACTCAATGCATATGCATCAATTGGATTAATCTCCAATGATTTGCTGAGATCAATTAATGCATTATCATATTGCTTAAGATTAAGATAGACAGTTCCCCTTATGCTCAATGTAACAGCATCATTTGGTTTAATCTCCAATGATTTGTTAAGATCAGTCAATGCATTGTTGTTCTGGTTAAGTGCAAGATGGACATTTCCCTTTGCTCTCAATGTATCTGCATCATTTGGTTTAATCACCAACAGCTTACTGAAATCATTCAAAGCATTATCATACTGAGCAAGCTTGTAATAGAGACCTCCCCTGGCATTCAATGTGTCTGGATCAGTTGGTTTAACCTTCAAATATTTGCTGAAATCAATTAATGCATTATCATACTGATGAATTGTGGAATAGACAGTTCCTCTCATTCTCAAGGCATCTGTATTATTTGGATTAATCTCCAATGTTTGATTGAGATTAATTAATGCATTATCATACATATGAAGTTTGTAATAAACAGTTCCCCTTATGCACAATGTAACAGCATCATTTGGTTTAATCTCTAATGATTTGTTAAGATCAATCAATGCATTATTATACTGATTGAGTGCAAAATAGACATGTCCACATCCTCTCAATGTAGATGCATCATTTGGTTTAATCTCCAATGATTTACTGAAGTCATTCAAAGCATTCTCATACTGAGCAAGTTTGTAATAGACAGTTCCCCTTATACTCAATGTATCTGCATTATTTGGACTAATTTCCAGTGATTTGCTGAGATCAATTAATGCATTATTATATTGCTTAAGATTAAGGTAGACAGTTCCCCTAATGCTCAATGTAACAGCATCATTTGGTTTGATCTCCAATGATTTGTTAAGATCAGTCAATGCATTGTTGTTCTGGTTAAGTGCAAGATGGATGTTTCCCTTTGCTCTCAATGTATCTGCATCATTTGGTTTAATCACCAACAGCTTACTGAAATCATTCAAAGCATTATCATACTGAGCAAGCTTGTAATAGAGACCTCCCCTGGCATTCAATGTGTCTGGATCAGTTGGTTTAATCTTCAATGATTTGTTGAAATCAACTAATGCACTATCATACTGATGAATTGTGGAATAGACAGTTCCTCTTGCTTTCAATGTAAATGCATCATTTGGTTTAGCCTCTAATGATTGACTAAAATCATTCAATGCCCTATCATACAGATGAAGCTTGTAATAGACAGTTCCCCTTATTCTCAATGTAAATGCATCATTTGGTTTAAGCTCCAATGATTGTTTAAGATCATTAAGTGATTTTCTGTAGTCAGACTGCAACATATAATTGTTTCCACGTAATGCCCAAGCTCTAGGATTTTTAGGATTATAGCTAATACATTTAGTTATATAATTATAACATTCTCGATAATCTGTACTTTTCATGTATGCCATAGCAAGATTATACAGAATAGTAGAACTGTTAGGATAATGTTCAAGTGCTCGTTTCAGCCACAGTATTGCATCCCTATATCTCTCCTTGTTGAGTGCTTTCTTGCCCTGTCTGTATGTAGGGTGTTGTCGCTTTGGTCTTCTAATTTTTTGCATAAGAGTTTTCTTGGGCCTCATTTTCAGTAAATACAGAAACTTTGCCTTCATCATAGAAGATTCTTCAGCATCACTGTTATCCTGGTTTTCTACAGCTGTTGTAAAATTTGTTGTGTTGTCTATTGGCATAATGTATCCTGTTTCAACAAATTTTTCATACAACGCTTTATAGATAGGTGAACATGGTATTGCTTTGGTATCTTGGATCTGGATTTCTTTATTACAATAGAAACATTTTAATGAATCATAGTTTAATTTCATAAATGTTTCCAATGCTGAATGGCTTATTTTGTGTCCACATGGCAGTACTCTAAAATCATCTGTAACTTTTTGAGTGAAGGGGCATGTGAGATGATCTGCCACCATATCCAAGATCAACAAATCATCTGAATTAGAATCAAGCAATTCCTCAGGATTCTGTTGTAACACTGCTTTTTGCTTTGAGGTTGACATTCCTAATGCAGAGTTTGCATTAGTATTAGTAAATTTGTATTTCATATTAAAATACCCTATCATATCTTGAAGCCCATGTATATTAGTCTTATCCAAAACTGCAAGATGTTCAATATGTTGACATAGATCTGCTTGAACAACTGAAAATGTATCTGGTTCCTTCTTATGAAGTGTCATCAAGACTTCCACTGCTTTAAATTGAATATTTTCTGTCAATACAATGTCAAGTGTCAATTTTGCAAGATAATAGCAGTGAGCCAAAGTACTAGCATTCTTTGTAGATAAGATAAGTTTCTCAGTAATTTCTAGTATACCATACAATAAAGAATATGGATATGATACAGGAGCATAACCACCAATATGGATGAGAGTATGCTTCAAGTTAGACTTAAAGGTATCCATGTCTGACTCTGGTTTTACAGCAGCTTTGGCCCATTCTTGATCTCCAAATCTCCATAAATCTTTAATAATCATCAATTCTCCTTTGAAAACCAAATCCTTATTGATTGGTATCTCTGACCATTCAACAAAGGCTTGATATGTGCTGTATAAATATATCCAATCCTTGTACCAATAGTTGATAGGAAACTTGGGACTTAAAGCTTGTTGAATCTTGTTGTATGTCTCAAAGGATGTATTGTTATCAAATGGGGTTTGAATATCTGCCATGATATTAGCCATACCAGGTAAAATTTCAACCAAGTTAGCAAACACAACTTTCAGTGATTTTATAATCTTAAATAAGATTGTTTCATCATCATGCATTGCATGAAGAGTGTCCCAAAGATGTATCAGTAAGAAATCAATATTATAATTCTGGCAGCTAATACCTTTGTCTAAACCAGAACATAAGTCATATGCAGTTCTTTGTTCATTGTATGGACTGTACTCAAAGTTAAAGTTTCTGTTTAGGCCATTCTTTAGCACTTTAGTATGCCGTTGATAAACGTCATAAAACTTGGAAAGTTGTTCATGCAAAATCTCATGGAATTTCCTTGTTATTACAAAATGCCTCTTTGCAATTGCTTCTAATGTTAACATATATACTCTGAGATGTACCTCCAACTCCATGCTAGTAGTCATTCTGTGAATTCCATATGAAATTTTATCAGTCCCCATTATGCGCAAGATGTTTTCCAGTTGGTCGTAAGCTAACCGATCTTGAGCAGTCACTAATAAGGAATGTAATCTGAGGAGGTTATAGCTCCTATCGTTGTCATTGACCACTGATTCTAAGCGTTTGATCATTTCATCCCATAATTGAACGGTACTCAGAGTTCCAAGACAATTAATCCTAAATATATCGTCAACCTCGTCGTTCTCGTTGTCATTATCAGAATGATCAAATTGAAAAAGATCCGCAAAAGTCGTACACAGTTGGTCTTCGGCTTTGTTATTTGCTGGAGAAAGTGACGATTCTCCATCATCAGTCTGATATATCGTCCGTCGCTTGCTCCATCGTGAATTGCTTCCGTCTATCTTGGTCCTTCTCATCTTTGAAAATAGGTAAAGCCCAAATGTTATCTGTCCGAAAACTCAATGGTCTAAGGAATGCTATCGTTGTCTGTTGCGCTTTGAGGCGTCGACTGACTTTTCTTTGGGCTAATTTATTATCGTAATGGCTGACGTGGCACAAATAGATTGGGTAACGGTAAGATAAGAATCTTGAGTGGACACAATGCGGACCTTTTCATGATTGCTCATTTATTTTCCTTATATGGTCACGGAGTGCGTGGGAAAGTACACGATATTTATACAAGGAACACATTACAATTGCGATTTTACGCAGCATTATTTGGTTCAGCATCACAATACTGCAACATCTTTAATCTCTTATCTTCATCCCAACACTCCATATACAGTTTTTCATATTCTTCGGGCGTCCCAGGAAATGGGTCATCACGAAAGCCCCTAAGTCTAGACGCAACGACTCTATCATCTGTAGAGATGCACATGGAATCTTACCGCCCAGAACATTACTCCGCTAATTTTCCCCCACGTATGTATGCCTCATCCTCAAAAGACTTCGGATCTTTGTACCGTACAGTGCCAAGACCATGAGATTGGGACATTGTTCCAACACACCAGACAGACCAAAGTCTGCAATCTTCGCAGTGACTAATTGAATAAGAATATTTTTCGAAGACTGAATAAAATAACATAGTATTTAATGAGATTAAGTATACACGTAATAACGATGAACAAAGAGACGATCAATCTGCAATACATACCAAATCCTTATGAATTATACCAAGTGAATGCAAGTATCTTAACCCATTGACAATCCCTAAACCCAATTTGTATTTGTCTTTCCATGTCAAATTCGTAAAGTGTTTCTCTAGGTATTCACGCAAAGTTCCACCGTCAGCTAGTTCCAATATCATACTATAATTATCGCTTGCGGCTGTTTGTTTACATAGAAACGGGATTAGTCGTTACTATTATTCTCAATAAGCATTAGTTACCATTTACCGAACCTTTTAATAGACCTAGAAAACGAATAATGTTGGGGTGGCCATTTGCCTGCTTGTGGATACTCAACTATTGTATGATGATAATAACAAACATTAGCCTATAATAATAAAAATAGGCATTAATATGCAATAATAATAGCGAATCAAGTAACCTCTCGGACAAACTGTTTGTAAAATTCTTCTTCATTTCTGTATATGTGCACAATAAAGGTCTTCACCGCAACAGTCCTGCCAGAAGGGATACCTTGCTTTTCGCCAAAGGTTAACCGTCGCTTTGTATATGACGCCTGACGCACCGTTGGCAATTGGCCTAGGTTCTAATGACAAGTCGCCCACCGGACAACAATAGACTGACCCTTTTTGAAGACTTGCTTCCAACCACTTTTTATTTCTGCTGTTTTGGGACATAATCCTGTAGATTTGATAACAGTAAGAAACTATGACTATTTATGTCATGTGATAAGTACCATTTATAGTAGTCTTCATCTTATCAAATACTAATACTAGTAGACGACTAACCAAACCAAATCGTCGTGATTGGTTTGTTGTGGCACATGACACCGAAATGTATTAGTTTCAACTGTTTCGTTGAGACTGACGATAAGATAACGGGCAATTAGAAATGGTTGGTATTGAGAGGTTAAGTTCTCTAACTTATCTTTAAGGTTCTATTGTCGCAATATTACTTATACGTTTTTTATAGCCTTCCGAGCAAGAACTGAAAGGTACACACGGAGCATTGTCTTTTGGTTCTTCTTAACAATATATCCACTCATCATTTGCAATAGAATATAAAGAGACCTTTACACTCTTCGATAAGAAAGGAGCCGGCACAATTCCGTCCGAGACTCTGGGCGACGTGCTTCGTGCTCTTGGACAGAATCCTACACAGACCGAGGTTAAAGAACTTGCCGAGTCTCACGGATCCGAGAGTAAGTTGTATTAAATGATGTGCTCTCAGTTGTTATTAGGGTGGCGTAATTACTTATTTAAAGAAGTCCATTGTTGCCATTTACCTTGCTTGTGTTCTAATACTTGATCTTCCCGTTAGTAAACTTCGATGAATTTGTAAAAGTTCTTCAACGTCCTGGAGGATTTGCTCCAGCTGGGACTTATGAGGAGTTTGTAGATGGCTTTCAGGTCTTTGATAAAAAGAGGACTGGCTATATTTCTGTAACCGAACTCAAATATGGTTAGTTTTTATACTATGACTTGATGGGATGTACAAGTTATTTGAAGCTTCCTATATTAATTAATTTATATTGTTTTTCAGTCTTGACTAATTTAGGTGAAAAGTTGAGTGAAGCAGAAGTCGAGGATCTTTTGAAAGATGAAACCATCGATGACAATGGAAGCATTAATTATCACGGTCAGTCTTCATGTTTGATAGTAGAATGTCGTAGAAATACGTATATCTCTACATTTCAATTCCTTCACCAGATTTACTAACCGTCCATTTTTTTCTTCTAATATAGAATTTGTAAAGAAAATTTTGAGTTCATAAAGCAATAGTTTATATTAATTTATTGATAAATGAAAGCAACACTGTTATACAGCATCAGTTCTATTCTACAATGTTAATATAAATTAATTTGAACGACTTCAGATTACCAAATACTTTTTTCTGAGATAAATATGCTAGCTAGTATACTACATCTACTCTAATCATCGTCGTCGTCGACCTCCTTTTTAGCAATCCTCTCTTCAATCTCACGAATCTTCCCCGAATTAATCGCTTCTTGAACAGGATTGACTACGTCCATAACGCCTGTTTTTTTGAGGCGCTCGAACAGAACGAAAAGACGTTCCGCCTCCCGTTCTTTCTCTTCATCTGTCATGTTAGCAAGAGATAGCGGTGCATCCTCCATATATTGACCAGTGATAGGGTTGATGGGCTTCTCGCTATATATCGGAGCAGTTGGATCACTTGACGGTATTGTGATATTGTGACTCATTAGGAATCCAGCTGCGTTACCATATCCAACATGATGAACAAATAGACTCGCTAAAGATTAGAAATATGATGTATTAGTTAGCTACTGAAAGACACTGCTAAAATATGCGTTGCATAATAATTTAGTAGCAAACAGCAATAGCAACAACAGCGACAGCACACACACCACCATTCTATTGTTATCAACACCAAACTTCTGTGATAAAGACTGTAATTACCATTCTCATCACATAGTTTAAACAACAATTCACTCACACCGTCACGCAGATGTGGTAGCATGACTGAAGTCATAAGACGAATAAGCCGTGCCGTAAGGCTTTCCCCTTTTTCGAGTGGCTTAGAACGGTCACTATGAAATAACAAAGCAAATGGCAAGTTAGTCTACCTGCCATACAACTATTGGAGAAATCGTATACGCAGAGATCTCTGGTATACGTACATATTATCTGGCAGCAGTTTCGACTTTAACATCACTCTAGCATCATAATCATCCTCCGCCAACTTCTTCAGTAGCACAACAAAAGGAGCAATAGCCTCATCCATATCAAGTCCATTGCTCTTCCCACTATTGTTATCATCAGGGTCGCCTTTAACTATAAAGAATACCATTTTCTTCAACATATCTACTAGTTTATCAATGAGCAGGTGGCTTTCGCCTTCTTTCTGGTTATCTGGAAACCATACTTTTTTGTATTGTGCGACAGGAAAGTTTAGAAGAGCGTGAACAGCGTGAGAGTGTGGTGGTGTCATTGGAAAAGGCCCCGATTGCTTGAGCTCGGTAATTACTCTAAGGACAGGTGCTAGAAGTCTAATCGAAAAACACCTATTAGTATCGGTTGCAGTTTTTGGTAACTGCAATAATATAAGTTATTATTTGTTTACGATAACCCTATCTTTAGTGTTCATATTTATATTCCCACTTCATTCACTTACTTTTCGAATTTGAAAGAAATGGCTGGCTGTTCCTCTTTGTTTACCTTCTCGATCTTAGGATCATTCATCATCAGATTGAACAACAATTTCAATTGCTCATTTAAAATCATGACCCTCGTTATTTGCATTGGTACATCCCCACTAGACTCTTGCCGGCCCAATTCTTCAACGTGAGTGGATACAGTCTTAAAGCATATAAAGCATTAACTCAGGCGTCAGGCAATAATATATACTAACAGAGCCGAGCACTTACATGTTCCAAAATATCAATTATACCAAGACGATCAACTAGACTCTCAACAGAGGGTAATGGACGTACTGTCATTACAAAAAGAATACGAGATGTGAGGAATTCTGTCTTAATCGAGAGGGATCCTTTCTGCCAACGTTAAACAAACAGCATTCCAGTAATATTCCAGTTAGCATCTACACACGATTAGGAATTTCCCGATACTCGCAAATCTGGTTTTGCCTTCACCTTGAGTCCTCTCGTCAAGCCCTCAACGCCTTCATACTTGTTAAACAGATCTCGCGTATCTTCTTCTAGCAGCAATGCGTTAGCTATACAAGTCAATGCCTCCTGTGTGACAAGAGTGTCTTGAAGATCGCCACCCTCAGGTAATAGCGTCGCGAGAGTCATAAGTATGCGAAAACCCTATTGTTAAACTAAGTCAGCCAAAGGATTCAATATGTGTATAGGCTTAATTTAACGGTAAGATACCTCGTCAGACAGCAGACGACCGCAACCGTCGACAACACGTCCTAGTATTTTTAATGTCTGCAAAGCCAATAAACGCACTATATAGATAGGAGATTGTAAATGTTTGACGCAACGAGAGTAAGAAAGTAATGAGATGCGCACCTTCATCACTCCAGGCCTGCTGGACATCAAGATCAGATATAAGGGCGTTTACAAGCTCGGTCTTTTCTGGCAATGTCAGTGAAGTCGCAGCTGTAATATACGGATAATGTATCTATCATTAAGTATTCATACGTGTACTGTAGAGTTAGTAATGCGTATTAGCTCTCATTCTTACCAGAAGGGTCGTTCAGAAACTTCGAAAGCCAATGAGAAACAGCCTCAACATCGGTTTTATCGTCAATGTCAGTATACGATGCCATGAAAAGACGAAAGAGCAGAATAGAAAGAAAATGCGCTAAGTGATCAATTAATGTCTGGTCTAGTAAATCAGTATTGTGATCCGTGATGGTTAACTGGGAAGTTAAACTTTCTTCAACGGAGTTTGAAGTGATTAGCATTTATCCATACTTGCTTCCTTGTCCTACTATGGTACAGATCATCTGCAAATTTCGGTGATACACGCCATTGACGATCAGGGTTTGCTATAATAATAACTGTAGAAGAACAGTTTCTAGTTTTGCTATCATAAAAAGAATGACCAGACAAGTGAATTTGTGCCATCACTCGGTCATAACTTATTATTATACAGTTCCCCCAAACAGGCATAATAACCCAAATACAGTGAAACCTGTTTATACCGGGCGGTTTGGCACAGCTCTTTGAATGAGATTCGGTAATATGCAAAAGAAAAAGTATATAGAAATGGAGTTTAAGACGCAATAGTATATCAAAAAGTGTAACGACATAAAACGATCCAAGTTACAATGACCTTCTTCACGTATACAAGTCGTTAGCCTTATTGACGTAACTATCTAAGTCATTTGTTTAAGACTCTAGCAGTACTAGTTCCACATTTAAATTGGTTTGCAAGGTCTGTTTGTGTGAGATTCGGGACATTTACATTTAACAACACAATTTGGTTTTGCTCTAATAGAAGTTTCCTTTAAAGGAAAGATTTTCGCAATTATTACATGTTTCATTTAAAATTTTAATTATTAGCTAAAAATTGTGTTGAGCTTGCGTTTCATTGAATAATTTTTTTCCATGAATAAAATTCTCCAAACTATTAACAAGTCTCAGATAACTACCCTCTTGTTGAGTTAAAATGTTCTCCCGTTTTCCAACTCTTTAATGCCATGCTAGCACTAATAATTACTATCATCGTCGTCATTTTGTTATATTTTTTTTCTCCGCTTTTATTTAAATCCGATAATATATTTAATATTTACAGAGTTATTGTGAGCTGAGACAAAAGGAGTGAATAAACTATAAACAATACTATGTTGCGCAAAACCTGATATTGTTTAATTAGTTTAGTAAAGACAAGTGACGGATACCGACTAGTCGAAACACAAATCGAAGATAGCCCTGTTTAATTTTAAAAATAGTATTATTCCCCTTCGTCTTTAGTAGAATAATATTTTATTAGAAATACCCTTATTTGTATTCACGAGTGTTTGAAACTCGGATAGGAGTGAGAAGCGCGCATAATTAAAATAGGTCACTTGAGTCTCAATTGTACAACTATCGTAGTAAGGGCGATAGTACGAGCTAAGCTTTGTAACATCCCCTCGGCGAACACACCTACGCGAAAGATAAAATCGCTCTCCCATTTAATTCCCGACCGTAACATTATCAACAATTCTACCTTTCAGTTAACATTAAGGGCACCTACAAATCATTTCGCACTTACAGAACATAACCAATGTTGCCACACATTTATATTTGTATGATTTTATATAAAATGAAATGATCATTGCTATTACGTAACATCATAAATTACACAGGCTGTCTTTCTTCAAAATAAACAATGTCTGATGTCAAAATAGGAGCAAAGCTCTATATAAATTCATTTTTTGGTTATAAATTAAAGTTGGAATCGATGTAATAAATGAACCTTACCGCCACAGAGACTGTATCATTGATAATTGCTCTCTATTATTGCATCTCAAATCTTCGCATAATAATCAGTCTCCTTCCCTCTTAATCTATTCAAATGCATTATTTAGATTAATTTCCAACGATTTATTAATATCATTTAATGCATTGCCACGTTGCTTAAGTTTGATATAGACGGTCCCCCTTGCTCTCAATGCCAGCGCGTCATTTGGTTTAATTGCTACTAATAGATTCAAATCTGTTAATGCCTCGTCATATTGTTCACGTTTAAGATAGACGTTTCCCCTTACGCTCAACGTAAACGGGTTATTTGGTTCAATCTCCAACGATTTGCTGAGATCATACAATGCATTATCATACCGATAAAGCTTTTGATATACATTCCCCCTCATGCTCAATATCCCTGCATTGTGTGGTTTAATCTTCAATGATTTGTTGAGATCATGCAAAGCATTATCGTATTGTTGGAGTTTAAAATAAACAACTCCCCTATTTCCCAATGTCAACGCGTCGTTCGGTTTGACCTCCAACGATCTGTTCAGATCTGTCAATGCCTTGTCATATCGATTAAGTAAAAGATAGAAATTTCCTCTTACTCTCAATGCATCCGCATCATTTGGTTTAATTTCCAATGCTGTATCAAGATCGCTCAATGCATTATCATACTGTTGAAGCTCGTGATAGACAGTACCTCTATTTCTCAATGCACATGCATCATTTGGTTCAATCTTTAGTGATTTATCTAAGTCATTCAATGCATCATCATACTGTTTAAGAACAAGATAGACATATCCCCTGTTCCTCAATGCATACGCATCATTTGGTTCAATAGCCAACGATTTGTTGAAGTCATTTAATGCCCTGTCACATTGTTCAAGATTTATATAGACATTCCCCCTTCTGCTCAACGTCCATGCATGATCTGGTTCAATAGCTAATGATTTATCCAAGTCATTCAATGCATCACCATACCGTTTAAGATCAAGATAGACAGCTCCCCTTCTACCCCACGTCCAAGCATCATTTGGATCAATCTTTAGTGATTTATCTAAGTCATTCAACGCATCATCATACTGTTTAAGAACAAGATATCCCCTGTTCCTCAATGCATACGCATCATTTGGTTCAATAGCCAATGATTTGTTGAAGTCATTTAACGCCCTGCATATTGCTTAAGATTTATATAGACATACCCCCTTCTGCTCAATGTCCATGCATAATCAGGTTCAATAGCTAATGATTTATCCAAGTCATTCAATGCATCACCATACCGTTTAAGATCAAGATAGACAGCTCCCCTTCTACCCCATGTCCAAGCATTATTTGGTTCAATCCTTAGTGATTTATCTAAGTCATTCAATGCATCATCATACTGTTTAAGATCAAGATAGACATCTCCCCTGTTTCTCAATGCATACGCATCATTTGGTTCAATAGCCAATGATTTGTTGAAGTCATTTAATGCCCTGTCACATTGTTCAAGATTTATATAGACATTCCCCCTTCTGCTCAACGTCCATGCATGATCTGGTTCAATATCTAATGATTTATTGAAAGCCTCCAATGCATCCTCATACTGCTCGAGATTAAGATAGACAATTCCCTCATTTCTCATTGCATTCGCATTATCCGGCTCAGATTTGTTGAAGTCATATAATGCATTATCATACATCAACCTCTCATAAACATTTTCACAAAATGGCCGCTTGTTTGGGTCTTCATCCCAACATTCTGAATACAGTTCGACATATTCTTTGGGTGTTCCGGAAAATGGGGCATCACGACCGCCTTGGACTATATACATCACAATTCTAAAAGTTTCGGTACGTCCTTCACACGGAATTTTCCCACTAGATATTTCCCATAGGATTACTCCAAGACTAAAGACATCGGATTTCCTTGTACGTCGGTATTGATAATCACGAAAAGATGCTGGGTCCGTATATGCTGCACTGCCTTCACCATTTGACGAGGACATTATTTGTCTTAGTACGCTAGACAAACCGAAGTCGGTTATCTTTGCAATACCTTCTCGAATAAGAATATTTGTAGAAGACTAAAATAAAAATAGCAATACAGCCACTTGCATCAGGTTACGCTTAAGACTCCAAATGCACGGAAAAATGAACAATCCGTACCAAGTCCTTATGAATGATATTTAAACCGTGTAGATGTCTTAGCCCATTAGTAATTTCCAAGGCTAATTTGTATTTCTCCCTCCAATTTAGATTAGTATGTCTGGCCGCAAGCTTCCATCGTCAGCAAATTCCAAAATCATGTGATAACGATCGGATTTATCTATTCGTATAATAATAATGGAATAGAACAGGAGGTTACGACTCTGTATAACTCGCTACTACTGTTTGATTAAGCATAGCATGACGCCTATTTTCGCAACCAACTTCGAGATGAAGCACTCTACCTCTGTATAGCCCCAAAAATTGAATGACATTCGGGTGGGAACCCACCTTCTGATGGGTTTTCAACTAATTATAACAATGACGGTAAATTTTAGTTACATGACCAAAATATACCCGTTCAACAGTAACGAAAACGCAGTAAAGACAAGCAACAGTAACCTCTTTGACAAATCTCTTATATGAGCCATATTGATCCGGAAACGAAGTTTTCAGTTTCTTTCACCCTTGCTTCGAACGTCACTCCGTATTTACCACGACCAACAATACATCTGTAGTCTATGCTATATTCGCCTTCTGAATAGCACTGTATTGTTCTGTCTCGAATGCCATTGTCTATCCATGCATTATTATTATCATATTTTTGTTCTTGGGACATAGCAATAGTAATAGTATAGTTCTTTCGTTAAGAACTACTCCACGATCTAATGATCTAAACATCACGTGCATACGTAGGACGAGTTACATAAACGCTTTAGCTTATTTAAATAAATGTTATACAAAAGCGTCTACCAATGTTACGACAAAAGTGGGGAGGAAAAGTGAAGTGTGGTTTCAGAAAAGATATACAGCCCCCTCCCATAAATGACTGAGTAACACAAAATTTCGTAAATTATATGTCGAATTCGCACGCATGTAACAAA